TTAATATATCCACCAGAAGACATATCAAAGTAGTAATATGAAACGAAATATTGTCATAACATCGATAAGATATCGATCGTATCCTATGGTTAGAATCAAGGCTAGAGAGTAAGGCGTTCGCACCCCTGACCAAGTGTAAGGAGTTATATTATATCCAGGTTTGACGAAGTGAACCGGGCCCTATCCTAAGATACCGGATTCTTCCTATCCGCGTTAGTTATTTTACCAGGCACGACTTCCACACTTACTTGCTCTCTTCTTAACCTGTGGAAGGGGAGCTCTGGTTTGACTTAAGGTGCATTTCCCCTGCGTTATCAAAAAGATTTTGACTATGTGGTGGGTACTTCTGGCCCTTTCATTAGACTAGTTCTAGTGACTATGATCTTAAGTACCAAATAAGAGACAGTGTAGTGTGTGCCGTTATTATAAAACATAAGTTAAACTTAGTGGAGAGCCACGCTTCGGCATAAATGGGCCGGCTCGATCGGAGTGATACCACGGCCTCACAGAAAACCGACGTAAAGCAACGCTTGCGTTGTGTTTCGTCGTGTGAGTGAGGGTACCGGAGGCCCAAGCCCTCCCTATTCTCTTCCCTCTACCCCTCAAACCTTCCCTCCCTATGATCAGATTCGTCCCTCAAAGGCCGGCAGCGCGCTTGTATTCCCTCTGGTGTTGCAGGTGTCCATGGGCGACGGTAATCACTTACCATCAGGTGATCCGTCTGCTCGTCTGTCCCCTATCTCATAAAAAAAAACGTATTTTGTTTAAACCTTTGGCCGCATAAAACAAATTAATAATGACAGAAGAGAAACGTCAAATTGAGAACTTATATTCCGAATAGCTCGGTGGCGTTGTGCATAAGCGCCGCGGTTCGCGATCGTTGTTTTTAAGGCCCCATTACTAGCCGGCGATTTCTTCCAAGCAACCTGGGATTGGATGGAAAAAAGTGACTTTATGGCCCTTTGTTGTAAATACGGTATATAACCCTTTTTGTGTGAGTCCGACTCGCACTTTTCCGGCTTTTTTGTTAGTCGCGAATCGAGTTCAACTGTCTAGTTATCGATATTAGTTTGTTTCCTAGCTATCAACACAGCACGGTAAGTGGGTTTGCGGTCAGCCATTATTGTAGATTGCGATTGCATACCAAGAGAAAGAGTTGTATATTATTTGTCACCAGGTGTGTACGGAACACTACACTTTATTCTCTTTTATAAGGTAAGAATCTTATTCGGCCTCAAAAGAATATTGACAAAAATTGTCGAATTAGTTCAGTCGTTCTCCAGTTTTACGCTTAGTAACTACAGGTTTAATTATTATATTTGAAATTTAATTCTTGGTTAAACTATTTGCGAGTTTTGTTTTAAAGTTTGATTATGTTCTAGTAGATAAGTTCAAAGTTTATAAAGTTTTTCTGAATCTTAGAAGATATACAGATCTTATTACATTTGAACCCGTATTAATTTACTTGTCATTATATTCGAAAATATGCGAAGTTAAATTGGATTCCGTTATTTGAAGCATTTATTTTTAGAAAAGCTCTTTTTACCCGACTGCCCAAACAAGTAGTAAATTGTATTTAGGGTTAATGTGTGTATGTATTTTGATTAATCACCAATAGACTGTTTATAAAATGCCGTAATAGTAATTTTAATTGTTGTATATTTACAAAATGATATAATAAAAAAACATTTAATTCTTAACTATCTACATCTTCACGCCTGTCTAGTGTTCTCTCGTATATCTCGATCATATAATGTTGCTGTTGAGGTTTCACTTTTTAAAATAATGAATCTATCAGTTTTTAAATGATACTTAATATATTAACTAATGGCGGAACTGACACACTAATCAAATATCAAATTTATATATTTAATTTTAATATTTTGAATATCAAATTTAAATATTTATTCACTTTGTTTTCAAAATTTTGAGTTGTATCATTTTGCTCTTCGGATGCCGTCCGAGAACCGAACTGTTGACGGCTTATTAAAATATTTTCCGTTTTAGATTTCGGATCGTTATTTCTTGACATTTTACTAATGTTGCTTTTATTTTTTTCGGGATCTCCAGCTGTGGTGGTAATCTCCACATTAATGTTGTTGTGGTTTCACTTTTTAAAATAATTAATCAAACAATTCTTTAAATGATAATATATTACCCATAATTAATTAGTAAATTACAGCAAACAGATGAACCTATAAATAAATATATAACAACATCACATACATTCCTCAGATTCCAAGATGAGTAGCTAAAGCCCCCGAATGGAGTATTTGTGACAACGAAGGTGCCACAACACCCAGACCAGAGGCATAGAAAAGTTCATTTTCTACATTGGCCCGACCGGCAATCAAACCCGGGGCCTCAGAGATGGCGACACCTTGAAACCGGCGTGCGAACCACTCGGCTACGGAGGTCGTCAAATAATTTGCTAGACAGTGTCACCAAGAGTATAGAGCAAGTATAAAGTAGAAGTATGACAAGTAAACAAACTTCTTTTATAAAAAGTATTTTGTTGTGAGCCAAAGAGTAAGTATATACATATATTCTACAAGTTTCAGGTGCAGCTGCCACACCCGTACCCCTTGCGGGGTAGGCAGAGGACTGTACGCCACAATACATATACACACATTCAATTGTTTTCTGAAATTGAAAGAAAAACATATCTGAAAAAATAGTTATATTATAATAAAGTAGCGCGACATAAAAATGACAATATTTACTGCAAATTACATTTTATTTTTATTGTTGAATACAATATATTAGAGATATGCAAATTTGATCGTGATTATAGACTTTTACTTGTGGGACAAGCTATTTATGGAGCGTGGGTCGCTTCCTTTGCTTAAGTCTAAGTAAAAACAAGGTGTTTTTCTATAGAAATAATAATAGGAGTTTTTATTGAAACGTTAATAACTAAAATATAAAAATACTTTCCTTACATTTATTTATAAAAGTATTTTATTTTAGGAAATTTTTTTAATGACCGTCGTCGATAAGGAAAACATGACGAAAACACTGAAGCTTTTATTTATAATTTATCACTTCTTTACACTTATTTTAACAATGCCGAGGTTGAGGTGAAAATATTTTTAAGGCACCTTTTTATATTTAACACTAACGCAAATAGTCAATAGCATATCTATAGGTAAATTGAAGATATAGTAGAAGGTTTTTCTTAAGGCATTTATGTAATTTAATATTTATTTATATTTATCATGATAGTTTAAGGGTCCCGTACGCAAAGGGTAAAAAAGGAAAGTCCGATCCGCTGTCCGTTTGTGTGTTCACCGCCATTGTGTTTCTCATGAACAGACATTGCATTTTTCACAAACGACATATTTCTGTTCTGTTTACAACAACTACTGAAAAACAGGATATAATAAATAGTTAAATGTCAATACATGCTGATTTTATTTTTCGTTTCCTTTACGAAACCTTTTACCGGTTTAATATTTTGCTAGTCACTCTATGGTTACTAGATTAGTGATATGATTACAGATGTATTAAAATCTATATCGACGCTAGAAAGCAAACCCGTAGTAACCTGCAAAACCAAAAAAGATATTTAAAGTGGAAAATCTTTATATTCCAAAAAATATATATATCTTATTCCGTATAAATTGACTAAGGAACACCTTATTCGTTACCATGGACCTTTATAGGAATTATTTATCGAAAAAAATAGAAGTTTTTTTGCTCTGAAGAACAATTTTGGTTTTGCGGGTTACTACGTGTTTGCTTTCCAGAATTAACATGACACAAGGCTTATTCTATCGGTCAGTTTCTGAATTGTGAAAAGTACAATATTTCAACTAAATATTCTCAATAACTTAAGTTTAAAAAACTAAAATCAGAAAGTTAAAGGGACGCTTGAGAATGGTTTGAGAGGAAATTCGTCTATTTTGGAAACATTTATACTATCCAAATAAACGTATATTTCGATAATTTATGATAGAACGGAGGTGATACTGCCTCTGATGCACAGATAACCTTTAAGAATATGATTTTAATAAAATTATATGAACGACCGAATTTACGTTCGAGGACAAATAGAATAGGTTTTCGGAACCTCGTAGTAAACCAATAACATATTTGTATTATATTTCTTTGACTATGTTATCTGGTATTCACCAATTAGTAATATAGTAGCTTTAGTTTAGCGTCTATCATTTAATTAATTATCCACAGAAAACCTCTACGTCTGACTTTAATACGATTTTCTTGATGAAGTCGCTTTTGAGATAAGTATTATTTATCACTTTTTTAAAGTTTGAACCGACTTTCTACATTTTATAAAAAGTTGTTATTTATAAGTTAGTTTGCAATTTCATATAGAGGAAATTGGCCCTACGAACCGGATAGTCCATAAAAACGTCCATAAAAACAGCTGTTTTTTTAATTACATTTAAATAATTTCTTTTATGAACACGTTCGATGATGTATCCACAATTTTTATGTGTAACTGTATGTTATGTGGAGAACAGACGAATTTTTGAATATTCATTTATACTTTATTGTAGGACATTTTAATATTGTGCGCGCAGAAACAAGTCTTTATGGTTAAAGTTATATTTTAACGTTTCTTTAAAGTCAATTAATGTTAAAGTTGTGTTAAAATCGCAAAAACGGCTACAATTACCTGTACGTTAAGAAAAAAAGGAAACAAAGAGATAAAGTATGTGCGATTGTTTGCAGCAAAAATCTATAATAAACAACCTGTTTTAAATTCTCAGCGGTTCTCAAAGAACAAGTCCATCGTGCGTTCATCTCAAATAAATGTTAAATCATACAATATCTTGACAGCACCTAAAGCCCCATTACTGTAACTTGTTTCCAAAGAGCTTTTGTTTTTTTCAAGTCCCGAAGGAAGGAGTCGGCGCCCGCGTCGTCCATTGGCGCCTTTCTCCGAGCGAGTGAGACAGCCCGATTGTTTCAGTAAACAAGACAGAGATGGTGTATAGCATTCCGCGTCACAGACGGACAAACCAAATGGTACCAGTTTGCTTGTTATAAGCCGGCTTTATGGTCGTGTCTCAAAACGTTGTGTACTGTTTCCGACAATGATGTAAACAAAAATAAATTCGTATTCATTGATTGCAAGTTAATTTGAGAACGTGGTGTATTATTATGTGTTAAGTGTGTGTTTAGAAGTGGAACTTGTCAGTTTTCTAAGGATTTTTTCGTTTGGAACGGTAAGAATAACTAAGAATGCAACCCATTCCCTCTCGTCCCTCTCGGAAGAATGCAGTGCACCTCGGCCCAGGCGTACCTTGCGGGTTCGTTTTATCGAAAATGCTGTTCTCGTTTTATTTTTAAATGTACTTCAACACTGTCAGTCATACAATTTCTTCTATTAGATGTGATAGTAATTATATTTTTTTTTATCTGTATCTTTCCAGCTTTGATATTATGAATGAAATTATGGGGTCATTAATATTATCTATCACCTACATACAATATCATATTGTACTTAATTGACAATTTTTTATAATCATATGGTCATCAATAGAATAAATAACAGATGATGAATTAACGCATGCCTTTTTCAATTAAGTCAAAATGTTTAGTCGGTTGTTTATTTCATCAATTACCTATGTAGTCGAGTAGCGTATACGCTGGTGTCGAGGTCATGGGTTCCAATGTGGTCAGTGTGAAAACGGGATTTTTGAGGTTTTGATTAAAAATGGTGTGATATAAAAAAATTGCTGTAAAATAAAACGAATGCAATAGTCAAATTAAATGAATAAATTTTTATTCATAAGAATAAATATTGATTGAGGTTGCTGTTAAACCCAAGTGTAAAAAAATAAATAAATCCTATCATTATCATCTAGACAGATGATGTTTTAAGAATATGGAATTTTGATAGCTGACTTATCTATATCATTAATTACCGATACTACTTTAATGATTGTTTATTATGTATAATCATCTATTTCTATTCTTCTCACAATCATTTTCATTATATATGCGACAGATCGTGTGTCCTTAGGTGATACTAAAATATTTCTATGACTCCTCATATTGAAGTTGGTCATCAATCATTTATTCTCACAGTTCATTCGTACAGATAGTTGTCAGTCTCGACTCGATCCTCTAATGACGCGATACGCGAGTGTAAGAACGTCTGTAAACACGGCGCGCGCGCATGCTCGCGACAAATTAAAATACAATGATAACGAAGATGCAGACGTGATTCAAGGAACGTACGCAAATTTTAAAATACACAACACGATGTGTTTGTTATGTATGTGCGAACGGTGAGGTGACAGTCGAATTATAGTATGTGCGACTACTGGAATGCCAATGATTTGTAATGAATGAACAAGTGATTGTGTTCCGGTTCCGAAGTAATATTTTTGATATTAACAAGAGCGAGTCGGATTAGTGTTCTATGGGTTTTGTACCAATTTTAAATGATTTCGTTATTAATAAAAGAATAATCTTTTGAAATAACACACTAAGTACATAATTTCATATGACACATATCACTTCCACAAGTAGCCTTAATTTTAAATTCAAAACGACCCTATACTATACTTTTTAACTATAACTATACCTACTTTTAATGATATTAAACAAATATTTTCAGATTTCTAGGAAATTTCATAGTTCTAGGTCAACGGGAAGTACCGTATCAATTTTGATACCCTTGAGAGTGTCGATATATATAGGATTCCGTACCTAAAACAGTTCTGTACTTTAAACGAGACCCTATTACTAAGACTCCGCTATCCGTCCGTTTGTCTGTCTGTCTGGCATCAGGCTGTGTCTCATGAACCGCGATAAATAGTTTAAAATTTTCACAGATGATATTTCTGTTGCCGATATAATAAAAAATATTAAAACAGAATAAAAGAAACATTGATCCTCCCATACAATAAACGTGATTTTTTGGCGTTTGATAAAAATTTTGTTTTCGTAGATAATAGTAGACTTCCTGATTTCTTGATGGAGACCCATTATCTACAAAAGTCTGTTTCGAAAATAGCGCAGCTGTCATATGAAAAAAAGCTGTCATTGGATTTTCACTTCCTACTTCGTGGTGGTCGTGGCACGTGTGGGTGGAGGGTCCTCAACTACGCTTAATGACGGGGTATAATCGGTGTATTAAATGATAGATTTAAGGCCAGGTATAGTGTGCAGCTCACGGAATTACCCACTCTGATAAAACTTGATGTAGACTCTTAAACAGACACGTTGCATTATAATAATTTGTAAAGAACAGGTATTAATGCAATTATAAGTATTTCCACCTAGCCATATTTTCGGACGTTTCGGCCTAGTAATACAATTAGTTTTAATCGCGTCAACATCCGTTTTTTCTTCCTGAGTGTGAGCAGTAGAGTTTTTCATATCTATCTTCACGGAAATGCGTAGAAATAGTGGCGAAGAACATTAATCAGGAAGGGGATTCAAGATTTTTGGGAGTATTACTGAAAAATTTCAAGCCACAATACCCATAATTTTGGATCAATCTAAGCCCATATTCAAGAAAAAAACAAAGAAACGAAACTGGAATGAATTTTAAGATCAGTTGATGATAGAACTGGAGCATGTGACTGAGATTGGATATGTTGGATGTGATTGTAGCAGGGATGGAATGTCTGTAGCAAATATAGAAAGAATAGTGCGTGCAGAAACAGTCTAAATGAAGATTGGTGAAATCGTTTGGTAGCAGAAACCGTGAGTTGTATAGCGCAGTTACATAATTCGGTGGTTATTTTAACGTGTCTGGTGTATCGGTTTTGACGCTAGAACCGGTGAATCAGTGTATGAGATGAGTTATCAATGCCAGGGAAAGACGTATTACATAAATATAAAGGAAGAATACACAAACAACAGTATAAATACAGTATTACTAATGTAAACAAATAAATCTGCTACAAAAGGTAATTAAGGTTTTAATTGATTTAACCTCTGAATTTGTATCAGCGCTGTATTAGAAGCTGCTTTGGACACTGTAACAGTTCTCTTTTCATGGGGTATGCAGAGAGAACCGTTAAAGGATCACTAGGATAAGGGATCACGAGAAGATTTAGATGGACACCACAACAAAGTTTTTAGCTTTAACAACTTTCTGTAGCTTAATATTGAGTTTCACAAATTGAAACAGTCTATTCGCAGGATGATAACAGAAGTAATTGAATTCAGTTTCTCTGCTGAATATCTACTACCTAAGTAAAACCTGTTTTTCTTAGAGATAACAATGATTATAAAAATTGCGGAATATAATAAAAATTGTGTTAGTTTAGAAGAGTACTCAAGACGAAATTATTTCTGGGAATTCATTCAAAGTTTACTGTGCGGAAAATTAACAAAATAAGTTTTCTCAGAAAAAATGTCATTACCGGATACAAACACATTCATTTTCCTTCAATTATTATTAATGCGAGTTTAGTATTTTTTATGTCTTTATTCCTTAGAAATTTCGTATATTTTAGTGTTGTTTAGAATTAATTGTAATTGTAGAAAGTTGTACAGAATTATGTACTTATTTATTTCAAATCGGTAAATCTACTAATATTATGGCTTATTTTGTATTAGATTACGTTATAAAATAAAGTGAAAAGGAATTAACGAGGGTTTCAGGTACACGTGATTAGATGGCGCTGTAGTCTTTTGAATCGCGCCAATCATGATAACGTCACTAATTAAGGAGTATGTTCGACAGTAGGAAAGAGACTACTAACGAAAGCTTCTAGATTTTTTGGCAATACCGATAATACATCATGCCGAGGTCAGCCTAGATATTCTAGCGACCAGAACAGTGAAAATGGAGAGGCTTTTCTGAGATGAATAAACTGGCGTTCTCAACAATATTCTTGTAAGCGTTTTTAACGCTTCCGTTATTCTATAAGGAAGTAAAAAAAAATTATGTCGGTGACATGAAATTTGCCTGCCGGGGTGGTCCATAACATGAGATTAGCACGTGGATCGAGTGCCTCTTCATTTATTTCCTATCTCATAATAATGCGGGATTACATAGTTGATATTAAACTACAAAACCGGTCAAGTGTGAGTTCATTAGAGCATCGAGGTCGTAGCAAAACTCTTTTGCGATTTTCATACTTAACCTTTAAAAGTGCTAGAGGAAATTTAATTAAGGAACCCTAAAAGCGTTTCTTAAGGTTCTAAAATAGTTCTATGCTTAAGTGATAGAGTAGCGTTATATAGCATTCGTATTGCATTTAGTCTACAGGTAAACAAAGTTTATATGAGCACAATAATTAATTGAAAAAAAATGAGTCTAATAATGTCCTTGACCCGGGCCTGGTGGGGATTGATGGGTGTTAACGACTTTAGATGCAGCCGGGACCAACTGCATAATGTACCTTACGAAGCACTGAGGAACTCGAGATAATGAATTTTAGGTCACCCATCCTATGACCGGCCCTTGCGAAATCGCAGAACGAGCAGATCAACCACTGCTCCTTTTAAACAATAATTATACTTTGGTATTTGTACAATAGAATTAACGTAAGATATGGTTGTAAAACGTTTTTAAAAGCAAAAGCTTGTTGTCAGCGTCATATAGAATTAGCAAGTGGGATAACCGACTCCATAAAGAAATATGTATAAAGAAAATTTTGAGGTTCTTCTGATGTCAACTACAGAGGCTAATTTACGACAGCCCATAAAACTATTTTTATCTTTTCAAATTCAAAAATAATTACACATTTATACGCAACGGTGGATAAATAATTTTGCCACGTACAGGTTAAAATACCGTTTCTGTGGTTGCGCGGCAAAAAGTGTATTAAACAATTTAAAAAAATGAGGTTCTCAAGTTGACCTATACATGTTTGTGCGCAATGAGGAAGTATTTAAAAAAAAACGAAAGCACTAAAAAAGCACGTCCACTAGATGGCGACTCTAGCGAAAGTTGATTTTTGCAGGAAACGAATGGACCAAAGACAGTCACTTCCGTTCCTTTTAACTAACATATTAAAAACCTGAAATTTGATAAGTTCGAAACTTAGATATCAATATAAATACGAAAAAGTAAAAACGGAATATGATTTGTTTATTGAGTTTTGAAAACTAATTTTCTTTTAAACACGAAAGAAAACCGGAAAGGTTGTCATGGAGAAATCAAGAACGTACCTTAACGACATCTAGTGTGATTTCGGGAACTAATGGTTCTTTTTTTAAATACTTCCTCATTATCTCGCATATGGCTGAACCGATT